CTTCTAAACTCATGACGGGTGGGTTAGCGTACAGGTTATCTAAAAAGCAGCACAAATGACTAAGACATCTTCAATAGCAGCACTACAGAAATTAGAACCTTTAAGTCTAGATCTGTACTCTTCAGACTGTTAAAGCGGAGCTCCACCCAAAAGGGGAAGTTCTGCTTTAAGCCTTTATCCCCTGCTCCGCATTAAAGATTGGCATCTTTGGGGAGCGGGTACCTGAATTTGACAGGTACCTGCTCCCACTTCCGCTGTGATCGCCTAGGCAATTGGAAGCTGAAGTTGTCCTCCCCCCTCCCTCCCCATAGTATTCTGGGACACTTGACAGAAGACTACAGTCCCAGAAGTCTACGTAGCCATTCACAAAGTGCAATGCTTCTCACGCATGCCCAGTGGGCACCCGGCTGTGAAGCCGCAAACTGTCACAGCCAGGTGCCCACACTGAAGATGCTGGCACCAGGGAGAGAAGACGCAGTGGTGAGGACACCGCTGGACCTAGGGACAGGTAAGTGTCTGTATTTTAAAAGTCAGCAGCTATAGTTTTTGTAGCTGATGACTTTTTTTTTCTTTTTTTTTAGGTGGAATTCTGCTTTAGGCAGTTTCACAGAACATAAACATACCTTTACAGTTGAGCCACCAGACTGTCAGGGCTCCGGGTATGACCAGAGGTGTGTGGACCGACACAGGGAAACACAGACTTCAGGTATAGCATGTAAAACAATATAATTTATTAAGGGCAACACAAACATAAACGCAGTGCAACAAACCAAACCCAAAACTAACACAAATACGTACAACAAGGTGCAACAAACCCAAACCTTAACTGATATATATATATATATATATATATATATATATATATATATAGAGAGCACAACATAGTCAGGCGGGCCGGGTCGGTAGCTAACGGGCAGACAAGGTACAAGGAGTAGGCAGAAGATTGGTCAGGAGTAGCCGAGGTCGGTGCAGGCAGAGTTCAGGTAGAGTCAGGATCAAGCAGAGTCAGGATCAAGCAGGAAGCAGACAGGATGCAGGTACAGGGGCTCATGGGAACAATACACCAAGTACCTGACTGTAGGCCTGGCCAATTCCTTAAATACTCCTCCTGCAATCAGCCTCAGGTGATGGCTTGATTGCAGGAGTGAGCTTCTGGCTGCTGAGAGCACCCGCGGGCCAGCCCTGGTACTGCAGCCCACAAGGCAGGTGAGTCCCACCACCATTGGCGAGTCCATTCCTGACACAGACTTTCTGCAGTGACCACCAACAGCAGCTTCTACCCAGCTCTCCTGGACACTCTTCAGCAGTAACATTTATTTCTCTGGTGCCCCAACAAGGCTCAAGCTTCAATCCTCCTAAATGTACTCTACAGCAAGGCAGTGAAAGCTCCTCAGGCCCCAGCCTTAGGCCTCCAACACAGCCCCAATCCTGGCCCAGGGGGCAATGACAAAAAACCCTTTAGAAAGGTCACCCCGAATATTTTATCCTTCCCAGCATGCACCACATGCACCACTGGTTGGCCAGGGAGACATAAATATTCATTCATGGGACACCCCCCAGCAGGAGACAAAACTAGAATAATTCTGAGCTAGCGACACTCCTTCTTATAGCTGGGTCCCTACAATTTGTACATGGTATATGCAGTGTAGTTGACACCAAAAACAAATGTCCCTTTTTTTGTTCTGTTAAGGTTTTTCACCCCGATTGACATTTTTAAAATTAGTATTAGACACTCACTCTGAATAACCACTGTTATTCAAAGCAGTCAGCATCTTACTTTGCTAAATAAGGACTTGGAATTGGACATGTCTGTTGCTGACAAGCTGAAACTCATACATCCCAGATCCACACACAGTTACATATACCTAGATCCTGATTGGGTAGATGAAGTGAGTATAGGTAGTTAATAGAGGTAAATACTAGATCATGTAATTGTTTTGCATCCTACAAAGAATGATTAATACTGCAGTCATACAGTAGATGGCAGTATCGCCATATATTGACAGCATGGATAAGTCCTTACTAATTTTTTTTTATTGACTACAGTGATACACTTATTTCTCATGCATAGGACAAAGTAGTGAACAAGACAGACACCAAACATTCACTGATGGTGAATGATTCACTGTATAATACCAACACATTCACCAGGAAGATTCACCTGTGGTGAATGTTTTTGTGAATGCCACATTTACTGCTTTATACATAGTTTTGAAATCTATATGTATATGTATGAATGTGAATTAGGGACCTTAAATTGTACAACCCTTGAGGGTTAGGGACTGATATGAATGTACAATATATATGTAAAGTGCTGCGTAAATTGACAGAGCTATATAAGTACCTGAAATAAATAAATCTTATTTACCAGTCTTCAGTTACCATACTGTATTTCAGGTTCATGTGTTTAATACTAATTTACTGTGCTAATAAGATCCTAGAAAGCTTGTGGTGAATCAGGGGTTTTGAGTTTTGTACCACTGTACTCTTTTACTGTAAAAAAAAAATACAACATACTGCTCTGAAAATTACAAAAATAAACCTGGATGTTCCACAGCACTACTGGCAAAATATACTGTGGACAGATGAAACCAAGATTGAGTTGTTGGGAAGAACACACAACACTATGTGTGGAGAAAGAAAGGCACAGCACACCAACATCAAAACCTCATCCCCACTTTAAAACATGGCAGAGGGAGCATCGTGGTTTGGGGCTGCTTTGCTGCCTCAGGGCCTGGACGGATTTATTGTCATTGATGGGAAAATTAATTCCAGAGTTTATCAAGACATTTTGCAGGAAAACGTACGACCATCTGTCCGCCAACTGAAGTTCCACAGAGGATGGGTGATGCAACAGGACAATGACCCAAAGCATACAAGTAATTCAACAAAACAATGGCTGCAACAGCACAGAATACGCCTTCTGGAGTGGCCCAGTCAGAGTCTGACCTCAACCCGATTGAAATGCTGTGGCATGACCTTAAGAGAGCGATTCACATCAGCATCCCAAGAATATTGCTACACTGAAACAGTTTTGTGAAGAGGAGTGGTCCAAAATGACTCCAGATCGTTGTGCAGGTCTGATTTGCAACTACAGGAAACGTTTGGTTGAGGTTATTGCTGACAAAGGAGGGTCAACCAGTTATTAAGTCCAAAGGTTTACCTACTTTTTCCTCCCTGCACTGTGAATGTTTACATGTTATGTGCAATTAAACCTTGGCAACATGTAATGTTTGTGTAGTATTATGTTCAGCAGACTGTGTTCTTCTATTGTTACTTAGATGACGTTCAGAGCACATTTTATGCCCAATTCATGCAAAACTCCACGTAATCCCAAGGGGTTCACATACTTTTTCTTGCAACTGTAACTAGGCGCTGAGTTGTGGATGGCTTTATAACTTTTTCTAAGTATCTTGAATTTTATTTGTTTGGCGAGTGGAAGCCAATGGAGGGATTGGCAGAGAGGGGTGGCAGACACTGAACGGTTGGTAAGGTGGATGAGTCTGGCAATAGCATTCATGATGGACTGGAGGGGGACAGCCTATGCAAAGGTAAGCCAGTGAGAGGAAGTTGTAGTAGTCAAGGTGGGAGATGACCAGGGAGTGAGTCAGAAGCTTTGTGGTGTCATTGGTTAAGAAGTAGCATATTTTGGAGATGTTGCGGAGGTACTAAAGTGCAAATAGTGCAAAAAGAAATTCATAAATAAACAGATCATAAGTGCCACAAATTAATAATTGTATAAAGTGTCCCAAAATATTAGTTCAAAACAATGTGATTCTTCTGGTGCACAAATGCCTCCTTCCAGTGCTAATACATCAGCATACATATGTGTTCCACCCACCATGCAAACAATGGGATTATAAATCTCTTACCAAATAATATAAACCAGTGTTTCTCAACCTCTTTCCAGTCAAGGCACCCTTTAAAATGATGGACAGTTCTGAGGCACTCTTTAAAATTATGGATAGTCTCAAGGCACGCCATTCTAAAATGTGAAAAACTATTCTAACAATTTTATATAACACAACAACATCCACACATGTAGGACACCCAACATTAGAGGTGATTTATTCCTCCAAAGTAAATACACTTTTGCACACTGGTACTGAGTAGTATTCCAGAGTTTCTCTTCTCCATCACCGAGCTAATGTGACCCCAGCACTGATGGAGAGGGGCAGAGGAGGTTCAAACTAGGATGCTGTGCAAGAAGCTGACATCCTCCTTATCAACTGATGATGTCATTGGTTGTCAGGACTCCAGAAGCTAGAAGGTCATAATGGTGCACAATGGAAACCTGTGGCTTTATGTAACCAAAAGGCAGGCTTGTTCCACCTGCTGGCTTTTATACAAGTTTTTGGCAATTTTTAGACATTTTGCCAAGGCACCCCTGAAGAAACCTCAAGGCACCCTGGTTGAGAAAGGCTGATATAAACCATTCAAACATAAATGGTCAACAGTGCCTGTAAGTGTCAAAACACTTTAATCACCTCCCGCCCGCCATATAGTCCAATGACGTGCGCAAGGTGGTTCTCTCGTTCTGGGAGGATGTCATATGATGTCCTCCCATTCTCATTCGGCTCCAGGAGCACGCAGCGCGGCGATCACCAATCCACGGAAAGAGCCGAAGATGGCTCGGTCATGTGATCAGCTGTGTCCAATAACAGCTGATCACATGTAAAAAGGGAAATGCCGGTTATCGGCATTTCTCTCCTCACGAGCTGTCACGCTGACAGCTCGAGAGGAGAGGAGAGGCGGAAACCAGCATTCCGTGGAGGGGACATGTACATTGATCATCAGGGCACTGATAATCAGTGTGCCCTGATGATCAGTGTGGCCCCAGAAGTGCCACCTGTCAGTGTCCATCAGTGCTAGCTGTCAGTGCTGAACAGTGTCACGTGCCAGTGCCCATCAGTGCCACATCAATGCCACATTTCAGTGCCTACCAGTGCACATCAATGCCACATATCAGTGCCCATCTGAGCTGCCTTTCAGTGTCACACATCAGTGCCAGTCAGTGCCACCTATCAATGCCAATCAGTGCCACCTATCAATGCTGCCAATCAGTGCCAGTCAGTGCCACCTATCAGTGCCAGTCAGTGCCGCCTATCAGTGTGCATCAGTGCCGCCTATCAGTGCCTGTGAGTGCCGCCTATCAGTGCCAGTCAGTGCCACCTAACAGTACCAGTCAGTGCCTCCTAACAGTGCCAGTCAGTGTCGCCTATCAGTGCCACTCAGTGATGCCTATCAGTGCCATATATCAGTGCTGCCTTTCAGTGCCCATCAGTGATGCGTGTCAATGCCCATCAGTGCCACCTACCAGTGCTGCCTTTCAGTGCCCATCAGTGATGCGTGTCAATGCCCATCAGTGCCACCTACCAGTGCCTCCTCATCAGTGCCCATCAGTGCCACCTATCAGTGTCCATCAGTGCAGCCTATCAGTGCCCATCACTGCAGCCTCATTAGCGCACATCAGTGAAGGAGAAAAATCACTTATTTACAAAATTTTATAACAAAAACTAACAAAAAATGTTTTTTTTTTCAAAATTTTCTGTGGTTTTTGGTTTGTTTAAGAAAAAATAAAAAACCCAGAGGTGAATAAATACCACCAAAATAAAGCTCTATCTGTCACAAAAAAATGATAAAAATTTCATATGGGTACAGTGTTGCATGACCTCGCAATTGTCATTCAAAGTGTGACAGCGCTGAGAGCTGGAAATTGGCCTGGGCAGGAAGGGGGTATAAGTGCCCGGTAGGCTAGTGGTTAAACTGAAACCATCAGCTTGAACCCTTTCACTGCCAGAGTCGTTTCTGCATTTCTTGCACACGTTAAAGAAATCATTTTAGGTTTGAAGATTACACAAAACTCCCAAACATTATAGATTTTCTGAAAACAGAAAATCTCTAAACTAGAGGATAAAATAGTGGTAGTTCCAATTTTTTATGTCACACAATATTACCGCAAAGGTCTAAGAAACAATAAATTACCCATATTTTTCTAAAATATAAAAGGCAAGGTTGCACCGAGAATAGATACCCAACATGTCAAATTTGCATGCTCCTGTGAAATGGCAACAAACTTCAGTACCCTAAATTTTCTATAGGCAACACTTTAAAATCCCCTACAGGTCATCAGTTTAGCATTACGAAGGAGGTCTTGTGCTAGAGTTATTGCTCTCACCCCAGCGTGCACAACGATTTGTAACATGTATATTGGAATTGATGTTTTCATGCATAGGCACCCCTGGAACTTGCGTTATTTTCATTCATGCATACATGTGGGGGGGGGGGTCTCAAAAAAAAATTGGAGGGGGGGGTATGTGCTTGGGTGTCACTTTATTTTTTTACAATAAAAAATTTTTTTTTCATCACATAGAGGGCTCTGTGATAGGTGGATAGGTGACAGGTTCTCTTTAATAAGACATGCAGAGTCTAAAAGAAGGGGAGGAGTTCAGATGTGAGTCCGCTCTTCTCCCTCTCCTCCACCCGCTGGCACCCACCATGTCAGCCCCAGGCCTGAAGATGGGCAAGCGGAGCCTGGATTACATGGTGGAGGCATGCAGGGGGGCAGAATCCCGCTATCAGGGAGTGTGGAAGCAACTGCTGCCCAACGGCTTCCACCTGACTGCCAGGAGTCTGACTGTCATTTTATACACAATCCCCAAGGCTGCAAGCACTGGACCGTGTGTAAAACCCCCCGCTTTCATTTCTGTACTGCGTACAGACCTGGCAAAAGAGTTAATTGAATGACTTTAATGGTTTTCAGGACCGTAGCTCATCTATCCACAATGGTTGTCACCGACAATAAGCAAAAAGGTAATGCGTGCAGACCCTAGTGTAATAAATTTAATTCTGGTTATTCCGGCATAAAAGCCATTTACAACTAAAGTCCCAATGCTCCTCAGTTAAGTACCAAAAGTATCACAATGTTCAAACCAGGCAGTTTCACACCTTGCGTGATGACGTCTTTACCACACCCAATGCATTTTGTCAGAAAAATTACATCATTAGGGGGAATGGCTAGATGGCATCCATCAGGCATTACACTCTTATAGACCCAGGGACGACCTGCTCACCATAGTAATAGACACTGCTATCAATCTTGCATCATTAAATTTTTTTATGGTGATGCAGTAAGTGCCTACTGTACCATATTTTTGTGTAAAAAAGTATCCTGTTCTCTTTGTATTGCTTCCTTTGTGTGAAATCCCAGTTGTTCCTACCAATCCCACTGCTTTCCTATTAAAAACTGACTAGACTAGGCAGGAGAGCACAGCATGGTCAGTTCTATAGCCATGATGAGAAATGATCAGACTTGTCCTGAAACCACCTTCACCTCTACACAGCCGTTCACTGGGAAGATCAGTGTGCTGCTTTTCTCCTCCCCAAGCTCCACATGCAGTTGGGAACAGAGGGTATTTGATCACTTAAAGCGGAGTTCTACTCAAAAGCAGAAGCTCCGCTTATTTGCCTCCCCCCCTCCACTGCCATATTTGGCACCTTTTGGGGGGAAGCAGGTATTTGGCTTTGACAGGTACCCATTCCCACTTCTGGCTCAGTTAGCCGCGGTGAAGTGACCCGGAAGTTCAGCCCCCTTCTTGCTCCCACATTCTCCTGGGAACTTTCACAGGTCCCAGGAGACTGCCGGCCCAATCAGGAGGCATGGCTCGACTCACACAGTAGAGATTCCAGCTCCATAGAGGACAGAAGGAGAGAAGGGACTGCGCAGGTGAGTACATCGCTGGACCCCTGTGACAGGTAAGTGTGTGTTTATTAAAAGTCAGCAGCAGTTTTTGTAACTGCTGATTTTTAATAAACACAAAAACGTCTGGAACTGCGCTTTAAACTTAATGGGTTGTTTTATAAGGTAAGGGTTTACATATTCTTTAAGTTCAACACTTGCCTCACTTTCATTTAGTTACAATTTTCTGAATAGTTATAGTACTGGACTATATCTACAGAAGAAGAAAAGGAGGTAATCAACTGTCACAGTTTTGAAGAAAAAAGGGGTAAGCAGGAAATGAGCTTTAAAGTGAAACTAAATAAAGTCCTCATTCTCCAAAAAAAACCCTACACATCCAATACTTAATGGCCTGTAATCTATTTTTCATGAAACCATTTTTTTTTATTATGTTATTTTGCCTTTTTCTAATGTTCTCCATGAGCCCCAAACCTTTCCTTTTCTCTCTCACTTCTATTTGCTTGGCATGAGCAGTTCATGTTAGCTGCGGACATGTGCACTGTTCCATTCACACTACAAATCCCATAGTCTATAATCTCTGATACATTTCAGGAGTGAGCAAGAGAGGGTGGTTATGTTCCTACACACATTAGGTCCTTTGAGAATGAGTGTAGCCACCCTCTATCAAGAAATCAGATCACAAAAGCATAAAAAACAAATATAAATTTGGGGATTTGGAGGAAATTGAGAGATAAAAGAGACCTTTTATGAGTTCAGAATACACCAGAGTACCAGTGAACCAAAGTTTAGTGTCACTTTATTTAGACTTAGCTGACCTCAGCAGAGATTAGGACCACTGCATGTGTTTTGTATGTCTAGTATATATCAGTGTAAGAATTATATGTAAATATAGTTTATTTAAATTTTTGCTTCATTGTTTCTTTCAAGTTTTCTGACATGCCTGATGTTATTCCTTTTGTCGTCATTGATTTCTACATCTCATTTATCCACACCATAATCTTTTTCCAGTGTTCTCTGTATGGGAGTTTCTGTTTACACCAATCGCAATGACAGTGGTACCTGATGTATTTCCTTTGTGAAACATTAAATTTGGTAACAAGATTACACAATATTACCAATGGACTGTGAAGAAAGGCAATGAACTATGCTAATGAAACACAATCATTTACTGAAATTAACTGTGGTGTAGCAACCCCTGTGCGTTAGTAGATCATGTTCTAGAGATTTCACATGTGAGTGCATTTTTGTGTGTATGCAGGACACCAGGGATGGGCCCTGAATAGCAGATATGTGTTACTGTTATTTGGGTTGTGGTCCCTCTAGGGGGGAGCTGAAAGGAATAAATCCACCTGTAAAATCGGCGTGAAAAGGCAAGGAAGCAGTCAGCAGGTCAATGAGATTTTGTGTAGAGCAAGACACAGTCTGAGTGGGCTGTGAGCTTTTTATATGCAAAGACTCTACTGGAGTTCTGTGACCCTTTTTCTGGATCCCTAAAGCGGGTAGGAACTTCACAACCCTATTGTGGGACAGATTTATGCTGATGGTTAGCCAATCTTTGCTTTTGTCCCTGAAGTTAATAAACTGAAGTTTATAAACTGCTTTTTAATTTTATGCTGAAGAAAAGCTTGTTTTATTTGCCTTTTTATAACAGATAGATAGATAGATAGATAGATAGATAGATAGATAGATAGATAGATATGCACAATATTGCCAAAAGTATTGGGACACCTTCCAAATCATTGGATTCAGATGTTCCAGTCACCTCCATGGCTACAGGTGTATAAAATCAAGCACCTAGACATGCAGACTGCTTCTACAAACATTTGTGAAAGAATGGGTCGCTCTCAGGTTTATAGGGAATTTAAGCATGGTACCATGAAAGGATCTTTCATGGTACCACGCTTAAATTCACTAAACAATCATAATCCGTGAAATTTGCTTGCTACTAAATACTCCATGGTCAACTGTCAGTGGTATTATAACAAACAACTGGGAACAACAGCAACTCAGCCACAAAGTGGTAGGCCATGTAAAATGACAGAGCGGGGTCAGCATATGCTGAAGAGCACAGTGCACAGAAGTCACCAACTGTCTGCAGAGTCAATAGCTAAAGATCTCCAAACTTTGTGTGGCCTTCAGATGGACGTCCTCCCAGAACACCCCCCCCCCCCCCTGCGCACCTGGTGCTGTCGGTGATTGCTGTCTACTATGGACACAGCTGATCACGTGATAAGGTCAAAGGCCAAGCACAGCAGCCTTTTACCACTTGATCATCTGTGTCCAATGACACTGCAAATCACCGGTAAATACAGTTGCCGGTTATCGGCTGCATTTTCTTCATGCTGTTATAGCGTGAGGAAAGTACTGCCGATAACCGGCAGATGTGAAAGGGGAGATCTGCACTAATAATCAGCAGTGTCCAGCAATGCAGTCCGAGCAGTGCCACCCGTCAGTGCCCAGCAGTGCCACCCATCGGTGCCAGCAGTGTCGCCCATCAGTACCCAGCAGTGTCGCCAGCAGAGATGCCCAGCAGTGCCTCCCAGCAGTGCCCAGCAGTGTCGCCCATCAGTGCAGCCCAGCAGTGTCGCCCATCAGTGCCGCCAGTCAGTGCTGCCTAGCAGTGCCGCCTGTCAGTGCCCAGCAGTGCCACCCAGCAGTGCGGCCGGTCAGTGCCTCCAGTTGGTGCTATCAGTCAGTGCCAGCAATCAGTGCCACCTATCAGTGCCCATCATTGCTGCATATCAGTTCCTCCTCATCAATACCCACCAGTGCCACCTCATCAGTGCTACCTATCAGTGCCACCTCAACAGTGCCCATCAGTGCTGCCTATCAGTGCCCATCAGTGCAGCATCATCAATGCACATCAGCGAAGGAGAAAAAATACCTGTTTGCAAAATTTTATAATAGAAACAAAGAAAAACTTTATTTTTTTCAAATGTTTTGCTTTTTTTTATTTATAGCGCAAAAAATAAAACCCCCAGTGGAGATTAAATACCACCAAAAGAAAGCTCTGTTTGTGTGAAAAAAATGGTAAGAATTTCATATGGGTACAATGTTGCATGACTGTGCAATTGTTATTCAAAGTGCGACAGCATTGAAAGCTTAAACTTGGCCTGGGCAGGAGAGGGGGGGGGGGGGGGGGGAAGTACTCGGTAGGCCTGTGGCTAAAATGGTGGTATAGTACAGTACAACTGTAAGTAAGCTATTTTTCACTTTTACAGTTACCTTATAAATTCTGGTATAGTACAGTACAGTACCACAACTGGCATATAATGGACTGCATGGAGTGAACTGACAAGAAGAGAGTTACTAACTGGAGGGTAGGTGGGAGATGGTGGAGCATCAGCAATAGGAGGTGGAGGGCAAGATGAAAATTGGCCCACACCTGATGTTGTTGGAGCTTAAGGATCATCAGCAATAGAAGATGGAGGGCAAGATGGAATTTGGCCCGTACCTGATGTTGATGGAGCTGAGGGATCATCAGCAATAGGAGGTGGAGGGCAAGATGGAATTTGGCCCACACCTGATGTTGTTGGAGCTTAAGGATCATCAGCAATAGAAGATGGAGGGCAAGATGGAATTTGGCCCATACCAGATGTTGATGACATAGGTTTTTTACCCTCTGGAAAAGATGATCAAGTGATGTCTGAGTAGTAGCTTTTTTTTTTTCTCATCATAGATGACTCTGTAGCACTGGATGGCATTCTGAACAGCTGCTGCAACCTTTGTGTATTGTTCTACATTGGGGTCCTGTGCCTCAAAAACTAACAGTGCCTCTTCAAGTAAAGAAAATTCCCTTGCCTTGTCCTGTGTTGTGAATATCTTTGGTTCTTCAGTTACATCTTCCTCTTGGCTCTCTTCGTCTTTTCACTAGCCCTCCAATTCCATCAGGTCCTCATTAGTAAGCTCTTCAAGTTGTACAGCAAGGAGTTCAGTGAAGTCATCCTCTTCCAGATCTAGCTCCAGTTTGTACTAAGGGCCACTAAGCTGTTGAATACCTCTTTGTACCCCTTACCCATCTTCTCAAGTCCATGAACTTCATGCACAAACTAGGTTCTTCCAAACCCCATTCATGGTGACAGTTGAAACCTCACGCTAAGCAAAGTTGATGTTTTTTATGGCCTTGTAGATGTTATAGTCCTTCCAAAATTGTTGCAAGGTTGTTTCTGTTTGTGTGACATAAATAATATTTCTTGAAAGTCGCAATAACTCCTTGGTCCATAGGTTTGGGATGAGCGCCGTAGTATTCGGTGGCAGATGCACTACTTTGACGTTGGGATGGAAGTCATCCATGAATTGGGCGTGACCTGGTGCATTGTCAAGCAGCAAAAGAATGTTGAATGGGATATCTTTCTCCATACAATATTTCTCTATCTCTGGGATAAAGTGGTGGAAAAACCAGTCCTGGAAAATGGCCTGTGTAACCCAGGCTTTGGAGTTACTCTTCCACACAACAGATAGAGAACCCTTGGCTATGTTTTTGAGGGCTCTTGGGTTCTCTGAATGGTAAACAAAGAGAGGCTTTAGTTTCATATCATCAAAAGCATTGCCACCAAACAACAGAGTAAGTCTGTCATTTGCTGCTTTGATGCCTGGCATCACCTTTTCCTCTTTACTGATGTAACTTCATTCTGGCATCCTCTTCCAATACAGTCCTGTCTCATCGACATTAAAAACCTGTTGGGGTAAATAAGCACCTTCATCAAAAATTTCTCTAAGTGTTGCTGCAGAAACAATTGAGTACTGTCCGTGATACTTTTTTTATTTGCACTAACATACAATTTGGAGGACAAGCTTTCGGGGTATATCCCCTTCTTCAAGGTCCAAGCAGTACTATTACAAAGTTTTAGCAGAATGTTAGAAGAGATGTGGGGGATGAGAAAAAAAAAAAAAAGCAGAAAGAAACATAAGCCTAGTGTTAGACTAGAGATAAGACACAGCAAAGCGAAAGCAAAAACTAGGGGGGGGGGGGAGAACAACACTCACAGAGGGAGTCATAAAAATGTTAGATAATGATTGAGGACTCCCATGTCCAAATTAAGGCCCTTATCTCTTGTGTCAAATAGAAATATCATTCTTAGTTCAAAAGCATAAACACAGCCTTGAGAACCTGAAGGGAAAATCTACTTCAGTACAAAGAGAGAAAAAAACAAACAACCGTGTACCTCTAGTAACCACATACAACCCAGCACTAGAAGGAATAAGAAAAATAATCAAAGATTTACAACCCATCATAACAGAGGATGGAACTCTGAAAGAAATATTCCAGCAACTCCCAATAATGGCCTTCAGACAACCCCCCAACCTCAGAAATAAACTAATCAGTAGGAAACTTTCTTCTGATTATGAGGTCACAAATAATGGAAGCAAACCCTGCAATAAAAACGCTGCAAACTGTGCAACCAAATCAATCCATCAAAAAGTGTCAGACACTCAAAAGGGATCTTCAGTATTTCCGGATCATACAGCTGCACCTCTAGTAATGTTGTGTACCTTATCCAGTGCAGAAAATATAGCAAAGGATCTTATGTTGGCGAAACAGGACAGAAGTTGCAAACAAGGATGAATTTGCACAGACATACCATCAAGGAACATACAGAAGATGACTTTTGCACACCTGTGGGACACCATTTCGCACCACCAGACCACACTATGGAAGACCTCAATGTTTTAATTCTTAAAGGAAATTTCAAATCCATTCAGGATTCAGGATGAACTAAGAATTATATATTTGACACAAGAGATAACGACCTGAATTTGGACATGGGATTCCTCAATCATTATCCAACATTTTTATGACTCCCTCTGTGAGTGTTGTTCTTGGCCCCCCCCCAGTCTTTGCTTTTGCTTTGCTGTGTCTTATCTCTAGTCTAACACTAGGCTTGTGTTTCTTTTTGCTTTTTTTTTTTTCTCATCCCCCACATTTCTTCTAACATTCTGCTAAAACTTTGTAATAGTACTGCTTGGACCTTGAAGAAGAGGACATACCCCAAAAGCTTGTCTTTAAAGTTGTATGTTAGTGCAAATAAAAAAAGTATCACGGACAGTACTCAATTGTTTCTGTCGCAAGTGCACTAATATGGCTACAATCACCTCAATCTAAGTGTTGCTGGAAATTCTTGGGCAGCTATAGTATCTGCACTCACAGCCTCACCACTTACTTTTATGTTGTGAAGGTTGGCTCTAGCCTTGAATCTGTTAAACCATCCATGACTGGCAGTAAAAGATGCGTACTATTTACTCAATTTTTTATTCAAGTCTTCAAACAGGCTTTTAGCTTTTTCTTGAATAAGCATTAACCACTTGCCTACAGGGCACCTATACCCCCTTCCTGCCCAGGTCAATTTTCAGCTGTCAGTGCTGTCACACTTTGAATGAAAATTGACCGGTCATGCAACATTGTACCCATATGAAATTTTTATAATTTTTTTTAGATAGACAGAGCTTCCTTTTGGTGGTATTTAATCACCTCTGGGTTTTTTATTTTTTGCTAAACAAGCCAAAAACAACTGAAAATTTTGAAAAAAAAAATTTTTTTCTTAGTTTTTGTTAAAAAAATTTTTGTAAATAAGTTCTTTTTCTCTTTCACTGATGTGCAATAATGAGGCTGCAGTGATGGGCACTGATAGGCTGCACTGATGGGCACTGATAGGTGGCACTAATGGGCACTGATGAGGATGCACTGGCAGGTGTCACTGATGAGCATTGACAGGCATCACTGATGGGCACTGAAAGGCAGCACTCATATATGGCACTGATAGGCAGCACTCATATATGGCACTGATAGGCGGCACTGACTGGCAGTGATAGGTGACACTGACTGTCACTGTTAGGTGGCTCTGACTGGCACTGATAGACAGCACTGACAAGCACTGATAGGTGGCATTGATGTGCACTGATAGGTGGGCACTGACTGGCACTGATAGGTGGCACTGACTGGCACTGTTAGGTGGCACTGATTGGCAGCACTGATAGGTGGCACTGACTGGCATTGATAGGTAGCACTGACTGGCATTGATAGGTGACACTGAAAGACAGCTCAGATGGGCACTGATATGTGGCATTGATGTGGCACTGATGTGCACTGGCAGGTGGCATTGATGAGCACTGACAGCTGGCATTGATGGACACTGACAGGTGGCACTGCTGGGGCTACACTGATCATCAGGGCACACTGATTATCAGTGCCCTGATGATCAGTGTACATGTCCCCTCTGAGGGATGCCGATTACTGGCTCAGCGTGACAGCTCGTGAGGAGAGAAATACCAATAACCGGCATTTCCCTATTTACATGTGCTTAGCTGTGATTGAACACAGCTGATCACATGACCGAGTCGATATCTTCGGCTCTTTCTGTTGATTGGTGATCCCCTGTGTCTGAGGGATACAGCGCACCACTGATCGCCACACTGCGCACCCCCAGAGCCGTGCAGTTAGAGTGGGAGGACGTCATATGACATCCTCCCAGAACGAGAGAACCGCCTTGCGCCCGTCATTTCCTTAAATGGCAGGCGGGAGGTGGTTAAGCTGAGTGGGTCTCGACGCTGATGCTGATCTCCTCCATCTCCTCCATCACTTTACCACGCTTTTTTGGATATTATTGTTGACTTCATTGGCACAGCAGACTTCACATGTTCCATGATCTTGTCCTTGTTCTTTAGAATTGTGCCAATGGTTGAAAGATTCATGTTATAAGAACGAGCAACCTCTACCATCTTTTCGCCTCAGTCCAATTTCTCAATTATTTTCACTTTTGTTTTCATGGTTATTGCTTTGCGCTTCCTAGCAGTCCCCTCCACATCACCACTGCTTTTCCTCTTGCTTCCAGACATCCTGGGCTCTGATTGAGCACTGTACTGCTGTACACTATCACACTGTAAAGTAAGCACACAGCAGCACAACAGTGACAATGTGCAGCTGTGACAATGTCCGGGAGACATGTGAGCTACTTCCGCGATTTGTTCGTATCTATGAATGTTCGTAATGCAAGGTTCCTTTCTTATCTGTGAAAGTTCCCAACTCAAATGTTCGTAAGTTGGGGATTTACTGTATATATATATAAATATATATATATATATATATATATATATATATATATATATATAATTTAAAACTGTTCCATTTCAGGCTTTGTGCAGAAACCACAGCCTCTCCTGAGGTTACCTGTGGGTTTTTCTTTGTATACTGCACAATTCTCCTAGCAGTTGCAACTACAATCTTTCTTGGTTTACCTGATTTGGCTTGATATCAAGAGATCTCTACATTTTCCATTTCTTAATAAATGACCGAACGGTACTGACTGGCATTTGCAAGGCTTTGATAATCTTTTAAAATCCTTTTCTGTCTTTATAAAGCTCTATTACCTTGTTATGCAGGTCTTTTGACAGTTATTTTCTGTTCCCCATGGCTCAGTATTAGTGATGGGCCAAACACCCCCCTGTTCGGTTCATGGTCGAACATTTGAACAGAGGGGACAATTCACTAAGCGGTATATTAGTAGCGGACCTGAGTATACAGTAAGATACTGCACAGTCACTAAAACATTCTTTATTGTTTCAGTTGTCAGTGGGGTTCCCCACTAATAGCTGAATGTAAAAAGAATTGTTGGCATTGCCCCCCCCCCCCACAATTAAAAAAAAAAAAGTGAGGTCACTCCCCCCTTTCATAATAAGCCCTTCGGGTCTGGTATGAATTTTGAAGTGAACCCACACGCCAAAATTTTTTTAAAATGGTGTGGGGTCCCTCCCAAAATCCATAGCAGACCCTTATTCAAGCATGCAGCCCGGCAGGTCAGGAAAGGGTTGGATGTGCGAGCACCTTGGCTCCTCCCAAAGCACCTTGTGCCCATGTTGATGGTGTTGAGGGCCTCTTCCCAACAACCATGGCCAGAGGTTGTGGGAATCTGCGGGGTGGGGGGCTTATCGGAATCTGGAAGCCCACTTTAACAAGGGGGCCCCAGATCCTGCCCCCCCATGTGAATGAGTATGGGGTATATGGTACTGCTACTCATTCACAAAAAAATAGTGTAGTGTAAAAAATGACAGTAGACAGTCTTTGACAAAGTTCTTTATTAAAAACAAAAATTTTAAAAATATCCCCGAAGTAGATCCAATGTCGATTATGATGCTTGCCACCACTGCCAACCCTAAAAAAAGAAAAAAAAAACTTCTGCTCTCTACGCTGGTTCCCGCCACCTGACAGCTGCGTTGGGATAACAGTTCTTACATACTGTGAGGATGTCACCCTGCCCCCATGTGATGTCATCATGCACTGCTTTGGCCAGGCACAATGCAGTCAGGGTGCAATCAGGGCGCAGTGCATTGTGGGGTGCGGCAGGTGAACAGTCCTCCAAACGCCCTTACCATTCATTTGTTCGCCAAACTAATATTCGACTCGAACATACAGCTCTCAGTACTACTACTACTCAGTATCTAGCCTGCTCAGTGCATCCATGTGAGAGCTAACAAACTAATTGAATATTTATACACATACACAGACAAACACAGACACTAATTGCAATTTAAAAGATGTGGGAAATTAACTTTTATATGCCATTTTAACTTATGTGTGTCACCTTGTGTGTCTGCACAGGGTATGCAAACTTACTTTTGAGCACACTGTATATATATATATATATATAAACTCTAATTTGGCTGCTTCTCCCCTATCTAACTGTGTTTGTGATATAAAAACTTGGATGGCTCATAATTTCCTTCAATTAAACTGTGACAAGACTGAAATCATGCTTATTGGCACCCCCCATCAATTACAGTATGTAAGGCCAGTCCTGATAGCCTTATACATCAATGGCACTATACTTGGGCTTCAGTCTCAATTGAAAAATCTAGAGGTGATATGTAAAAACTAATATAACCTTTGATCCACATGTACAAAATGTTGTCAGAATATCGGGTCTAGGAGGTACATTGACTCAGTACACATCCGAACAATGGTCCACCATTTAGTGATGGCTGATCTACTCACTAGTGTACCTAAATCCACTATTTATCAGCTTTGATATGTACAAAATTCTGCAGCCAGAATCCTGGCTAGGTCTGGTACAAGTGATCATATTAACCCTATCTTGGAGTCCTTGCACTGGCTACCCATCAGGTTTAAGATCCTCTTGCTCAGCTATAAGGCTCTTCATGGCTTGGCACCATATTATCTCTCTTAACTTCTCTCAACCTCCTCCCCCCTTGTAAACTCAGCTCCTCAAATTCTGTTTTTCTGTGTATCCCCACTTCTCACATCATGAATACATGATGGGCGACAGAGTCTTCTCCTGCTATGCTCCAAAACTCTGGGATTCACTTCCAAAGTACATCTTCTCTAAACTCATTTAAATCACATTCTAAAAACTTTTTCTTTAGACAAGCTTTCATGTAATTGTCGCTTTTTTTTCTTTTATTTTATGCAGTGTATTTCTTGTGGTTTCTTTGTAAAGCACTTTGAGATGATATATATATATATATATATACCGCATTTTTCGCTCCATAAGACGCACTTTTTTCCCCCAAAAAAAGGGGGAAAAATGTCAGTGCGTCTTATGGAGCTAATATAAAGCGGCCGGTCCTGTATTTCCGCCACCACCATGTCAGAATACCGGGCCGGCCGTTTACCTGTTCTCTGCTGCGGCAGGAACTCACCTGTTCCTCGGTCCAGCGCTGTAGTCTTTCCACGCTGGCTTCTTCCCGCCCCGGCATCTGTGACAGCCGGGTGCCCACTGCGCTTGCGCGAGAAACGCTGCGCTTTGTGAATGGTCCAGTGTCTTCTGGGACACTTGACAGGTCCTAAAAGACGCCGGGCCATTCACAAAGCGCAGCACTTCTCGCGCATGTGCAGTGGGCACCCGGCTGTGAAAGTCTGGTGCCCACAGTATAGGAAGGAGAACTCCGTGGAAGTGGGAGCGGGTACCTGTCCGCGGTCTGTGGTCATCTCCTGTACTATGTCCGCAGTCTCTGGTCATCCCCTGTACTGTCCACAGTCTCTGGTCATCCCCTGTACTGTACGTAGTCTCTGGTCATCTCCTGTACTATGCCCGCAGTCTCTGGTCATCCCCTGTACTGTCTGCAGTCTCGGGTCATCTCCTGTACTGTGTCTGCAGTCTCTGGTCATCTCCTGTACTATGTCCACAGTCTCTGGTCCATCTCCTGTACTATGTCCGCAGTCTCTGGTCATCTCCTATACTATGTCCGCAGTCTCTGGTCATCTCCTGTACTGTGTCCGCAGTCTCTGGTCATCTCCCGTACTATGTCCGCAGTCTCTGGTCATCTCCTGTACTGTGTCCACAGTCTCTGGTCATCTCCTGTACTGTGTCTGCAGTCTCTGGTCATCTCCTGCACTATGTCTGCAGTCTCTGGTCATTTCCTGTACTATGTCTGCAGTCTCTGGTCATCTCCCGTACTATGTCTGCAGTCTCTGGTCATCTCCCGTACTATGTCCGCAGTCTCTGGTCATCTCCTGTACTGTGTCCACAGTCTCTGGTCATCTCCTGTACTGTGTCCGCAGTCTCTGGTCATCTCCTGTACTATGTCTGCAGTCTCTGGTCATCTCCTGTACTGTGTCCACAGTCTCTGGTCATCTCCTGTACTATGTCTGCAGTGTCTCTGGTCATCTCCTGTACTGTGTCCATAGTCTCTGGTCATCTCCTGTACTGTGTCTGCAGTCTCTGGTCATCTCCTGTACTGCGTCCACAGTCTCTGGTCATCTCCCGTACTATGTCCGCAGTCTCTGGTCCTTCTCCTGTACTGTGTCCGCAGTCTTTGGTCATCTCTTGTACTGTCCGCAGTCTCTGGTCATCTCCTGTTCTGTGTCCGCAGTCCCTGGTTATCTCCTGTACTATGTCTGCAGTTCATTGGTTCAGAATATTTTTTTCTTGTTTTTCTCCTCTAAAACCTAGGTGCGTCTTATGGTCAGGTGCGTCTTTATTAAGTATATTTCTTTATTCAAATGGAGTCACCGCTCTGCTATAACTATAGTTACGTGTTGCTATTATTGGTATTATTATTATCAGTATCCTCTAGTTATATAAAGCCGATATATCACACATAGACACATTTATTCAGTCATTTATGTTATAAGGAACTTTTTAAGCAGAAAAATAAAAATCTGACATATATGACTTTAATGAAGGTGTAGCACATAACCACACCCAGATCTGATGTTGTCCCAGCATGTTGTAGTTTCACTTTGCTTTATAAATGTCATAATTTATTTAATTGTCAATTTTCTTGACAAGTTAAGCACTGATATATTGGCAACTGTACTATTACTATTAATGAGTGTAGTTTCAGAAGAAGATGCAGTAGAGATGGCAGTGGTGGTGGTACTAATAGAAATAGAAGTTTATAAGTAGTAATAGTAGTAGAAGTAGTAGTAGTAGTAGTAGTAGTAGTAGATGTAATAACAAACAGTAACTTGTATGGTTATTTACATTATAGAAGCATTGATAAGATGAGATTTCCCAGCTTTCTAAGACATATGAATCTCCCTGTACCATTAACTTGGTTTTCTTTTGTAAGATTTGAACAGGCAGTCACAGCAGAAACTCTTCATATGCAGGTTTAGGCTACTGAGAATACATTTGAGTCCCTCACATCCAGGAATCCTCCTGCTCTGGCAACCACAGTGGAGTGATCACTCAGACACACAAGTGGGCCACAGTTCGGTCACAGCAGTGGCGTCCGAGGCAGGTGCAGGGGGTGCACGCCGCACCAAGTGACACCTACTCCACAGAGTGACACTGGACCCGCAAGCCGACGATCCCCGTAGGATAGATCGGATCTGTGGATTGGGGAGCATAATGGATCAAACTCCGATCCATTATGCTCAATCCGCAGATCCAAATCATCCTGCAGGGATTGTCGGCATGCAACCTATACGCGGTGACACCGGACCAGCTCCGCGAAAAGGTAAGTTGTAAAGAAAGCCGACGATCCCCGCAGGATGGATCTGATCTGCAGGTTGGGGTGCATAATGGATCGGAGTCCGATCCATTATGCTCAATCCACAAATCCGATCCATTCTGCAGGGATCGTCGGAAAGGGTGTCACTAAGTGTTATTGCACCGGGTGACACCAACCCTAGGGACGCCCGTGGGCCACAGCTATATATTTGCAACATGGGGTTTCATTGACACATGGAAAATGATTATGTAATGCAATGGTTTTCAACAGTCAAAGCCAACTTGCAGTATAATCCTGCTGCTTCTGCTACTGTCAGTCAAACCCAAAGAGAAGGAACGTGGGAGGGGGAGAGCAATGATTTGTGTGTCAATAGGCTTCCACAGCTCAGCTTGGGAACAAGCCTGCAGGTGTGCCCCCATAGGACGCACCAAGAAGAGGGGGAACAGAGAGCACCAATGGGGGGCCCCAGAAGAAGAGGTTTGGGGCCTCTCTGTGCAATACAATTGCACAGAGCAGGTAAGTATAACATGTTTTTTCTTTTAACGAGACTTTACAATCACTGCAAGCCTCTGTAAGTCTAGTACCTCTGGTTTTAACCTACAACCTCCTTATACAAAAGCACCTCTTTATAATAGCTCCCTTCACTTCCTGTCCTCACAAAAAAAACCTCTTTTGCCCTTAGGCAGTTGTCACCAGTACATGCCCCCCTTGCACCCCCCCTCCCCCCACCCCCTTCCTCAGTCCCAACCACTAGAAGGTTTCTCTTCTACTCAGTATCAACTGTAACATTTTTGAATATTCCATCACTTTCAAACTTGGTGATGGAAGTATTTTTTGTGAGAGTAAGTAATCAGCAGTCTTATGTATGCAGATAAATAGTGTATGTTTAATACAATAAAGAGAATTTCTTCAAATGAGTCAAAGTTTCTACAGGTGTGTCTTATAGACTTGCTGAAACAAAGGTAGCATTCATCATCCTCAGATTAAATCAACCGTAATTTAAACATGTGACTAAAAAGAGAAAAAAATCCTGGTCAAATAACTCAGACCTTAATATGCCTTAATAATCCATATTGTCACCAAGAGTTTCTCTAAAACAATACTTAGATTTATAAATTTGCAGATTATTATTTCAGGTGCTTGTATAGTGCTGTGAATTTATGCAGTGCTTTCCATATGTATTGTACATTCACATCAGTCCCTAGCCCTCATGGAGTGTACAATCTAAGGTCCCTAACTTACATTCATACATACACATACTAGGGACAATTTAGACAGGAGCCAATTAACCTACCAACATGTCTTTGGAGTGTAGGAAAAAACCAGAGCAACTGGAGGAAACCCACACAGACACAGGGAGGACATGCAAACTCCTGGCAGGTGGTGCGAATTTGAACCAATGATCCTATGCCAGGAGCTAACCATTTAGCCACTGTGCTGCCCAAGAGCCCAATGCTAAATGTAAATATTAAATCCTTACACAATTTTTATATATACGAAACTAGAAGAAAACAGTAGAAACAGCTAGGGAAAATAAAGAAAATGCAAAATGGATGTTGAAAATGATATCTTATATGGGAAAAAGATAAATGTATTAAAACTGGCATTTCTCAGGGTGGGTCTCCTGATGGTATGGTGACAATAGTGGACCATGTCTGCATGATGTGTTTTGTAATGGCAACTTATAGTCTTCATCAGATGCATGTGTGACAAGGGAACAGTGCAGAAGAACAATTTAGAGAGACAATACATTGTCACCCTCTAACAGGAAATGCTTAAACAAAGACTGTCATGGTAGGATCACCAGATATTATTTTATTGAAGCTGCTGATTTTAAAAATTTTGACAATTACAAGAGCATGCTAGCATTTATATAAGACTGAGTGCAAAATTTAGATACACTGGGAATGGATATTTTTAGTGCATGCTGGAGCTTTTTTTTTTATAAAAATGATATGTAAATACCTTATATAAATAAGGTAGCTACAGACAATATGGGGTTTATTTACTAAAGCTGGAGAGTGCAAAATCTGGATCTCTTCTTCATAGAAACCAATCAGCTTCCAGGTTTTATTGCCAAAGCTTAATTGAACAAGCTGGAGTTAGAAGCTGATTGGCTGCCATGCACAGCTGTACCAGACTCTGAGTGCACCAGTTTTTGTAAATCTACCCCTATATGTCTGCCACATGATATATGCTATATGATAACGCTGCCCTAGTTAATATTTTTCTGATGATAGGATCATGTAAATTATGCTTCCGTGAATGCTGTGCTCTGTTAATTTCATGGTTCAATTTTCTATAACAATAGCTTTTTACAACCTAAATTAAAAGCAAAACCAATTTTAACTTCCACAAAAAGACTAAACTACAGTATTTACTATTTAACATGCAATGAAAGTTGTCTCTCTGCTAAGTAGGTTCAGAACAGACATTTTAAATGAAAGTGTTTCCTTCAAGAACATTTAATTATTCTGTTGAACTACAGCATTTATACTCTGCAGTTCTTCGTGATAAAGAGTAATTCAGTATGAACGCAGTACAACTCTGGAGGGCTAGTAAACTACTCACGTACTTAATTATTGAGTATTGAAACATCCAGCACAGTGGCTAAATGGTTAGCACTTCCATCTGCCGGTGTAGCAGCAAGATGTGTACCCCCATGAAGATGTGTCTCCCTGACGCATCTGCACATGTCACGGTTTCAGAGACGATCAAGCGATCACAGAGCTACTGCATCCGACCTCTGTGCTTTCCATGATCCTTCTATCCATCTTGCGGGAGCGTCGGCTATTGATCTGCGGGATCAGCTTCAGCGGTGCGTGTACTCAGCGGTGCAGCCTAAAAGGGGTTAACTGTGGCAGTTCTGTGCTATGGATGGTGATCAGCAAACGGCTACTTCTGCCGAAAACCGTGACATGCGCATCTTCATAGGGGTACACATCTTGCGGCTACACCAGTATTGGTCGTTGGTTCAAATCCCAGCCATGGCACCACCTGCCTGGAGTTTGCATGTTCTCCCTGTACCTGCGTGGGTTTCCTTCCACACTCCAAAGACATGCAGGTAGGTTAATTGGCTCCTGTCAAAATTGGCCCTAGTATGTGTGTGAATGTAAGTCAGAGACCTTAGATTGAACATCCATTGAGGGTTAGGGACTGATGTGAATGTACAATATAAATATATATAAAGCACTGCATAAATTGACAGTGCTATATAAGTACCTGTAATAAATAAATCCTTTCTCTGTTGGGTATTTCTGTCACCTATCCACAGAGTCTGT